ATTGCCCTTTCAACATTTGGCGGGCCTGCGCTGTTCTGAACAGCATAACAGCCGAGCGGCAAAGACAGCGCCATTTAAGAGAATGTGAAAATAAGGAGGGGAGGGAATCTTCAGCAGGTTCCAGGTTCTAAGTTTAACAAATAAAGTGTCAGAAATGATCTAGAATGGTGCTGAGAGCAAAATGGGGAATTGGCATCTACTGAGCAGAGAATTTATTAATTGCATACTGACTGTAGCACATCGACTAAACGTGTCTCCATACAAGTAAAATCCTATAAATTAAAATTTATCGGTCCACCAGAACTGTCAATTTTAAGGCATCCATGTGTAAGAAATACAAAAACATCAAGAATATGTTTAAAATTTTCCTTTTCGTTCATATTTCAAACAGTTTTATCATCAATGGGCGTAAGTTTAGGGCGATGCGCTCAGAGGAGGTCGTTCTGGGCACAACAGAGGGAATCAAAGCAGGGGCAGATTTAGGAAATGTGGGGCCCAAGGCAAAGACAGGCATGGGGCCCTCTGAATGAAGACAAAACATAATACAGACCCATTATAGAGATATAAGTAGAATCGACAAACATTATTTACTAAATTTTGACTGCCCTTAATGATGTTTTATATAGTTTTATATTATGTCTAGGGAAAAATAACAATTCAAGATATCTTTAATCACATTTTGGAGAGTCAAAATCTGATTTGTCATTTTAAGTGTCACACATCTGGAATTATAATCAAGATATTTCCGTTGATGTGGACCAGTCAAAACTAATATCCCAATTATGAAATATCCCCCTAGTGTTGTCACTGAGCTGTCCTAAGAGTTGCCTGAAGAATTTTGCGTGGCTGCAATGTTGCTGGCTCTTCTTGACAAAGTTGTTTCAAAATGCCACAATGTTAAAAGAACTCAGCAGTATGGGGTGTGCAGAGAACAACAAGTTTTTGAACACTAAGATCCATTTCAATTTAATTATAAGTTTTTTTCATATATTTAAAGAGAGATAATGCCCGTCGTCCAATCAGTGGTAAATAGTTTAGTTCCACAGACCTGTTAGAATAGTTTAAACTCATTCATTTCAAGCATATAGCCCAACTTACTTAATAAACAGTCTATTTTATAAAATAAATACTCTAAATTTAATATTTGAAAGGTGAGTAAAATTGTTAGATTTTATACAGGCTTATGTCATTTTCAGGCTAATTCTAATGTATATGAATTTGTAAGCAGTTTTTTTCATATTTTGAAAATT